AGCTAGCCAGCTAGCCACCCACCCACCCACCCACCCACCCATCTAGCTAGCTAGCTAGCTAGCTAGGTACCCATATAGCTAGCTAGCTAGCTAGCTAGCTAGGTACCCATATTAGCTAGCTAGCTAGTTAGTTAGCTAGTTAGTTAGCAAATAAATAATACGTACAGCAGCAAGTTTACTATGAAGAATATCTGTTTGCTGCTGCAGCTGCTGTGTCTCTGCAGCAAGAAGGGCAGATGTTTTCTCTGCATGCAAACATTTATGTGCGGTGGTTAGTAACACACTAGAGGATAAACGACCCCGTATATAACGCTCCTCCTCTAGCTCCTTCCTGTATACATATACATATTTATTTATTTATTTATTTATTTTATTTATTTATTTATTTATTTAATTATTTTATTTATTTATTTATTTATTTATTTATATACATATACATATATATATATTATTATATACTATGTATATAACGCTCCTCCTCTTCCTCCTTCCTGTATATACTTATTTATTTATTTATTTATTTATTTATTTATTTTATTTATTTATTTATTTATTTATTTATTTATTTATTTATTTATATACATGCACACACTACGTATATAACGCTCCTCCTCTAGCTCCTTCCTGTATACGTAAATACGTACATATACATATACATATACATATACATATACATATACATATACATATACATATACATATACATATACATATACATATATATTTACGTATATATATTTACGTATATATATTTACGTACATATATTTACGTATATATATATATATATATATTTACGTATATATACTTACGTATATATATTTACGTATATATGTATATTTAAAGGAGATAAATAAAAGGAGACAAATAAATAAAAAGGAGAAAAAAAAATAAATAAATAATTTATACCCTAAATAAATAAAGGGGAGAATAAATAAATAAATAAATAAATAAATAAATAAATACCTAGCTGCATGCAATGCTTCTTCTTTTATTGCTATTTGTCCCTTTAGTGTATCTACTGCATGCGTCTTCCTCTCCACGTCAAAGTCACGAGCAGCCTGTACAAACCCTAAACCCTAAACCCTAAACCCTAAACCCTAAACCCTAAACCCTAAACCCTAGGGGTTCACGTTGAGTAGGGATTTCTTCTAAGAGAATAATATTTTGTATTTTTAGGGTTTAGGGTTTAGTGTTTTATTATCTATAGCGGAGGGTTTGAGGGACAAGGGTTTAGGGTTTAGGGTTTAGGGTTTAGGGTTTACGCACAAGGGCCCTCTGGAGTTCAAGGACTTGTGTCTCCTGCTGCCTTATCTGTGCCTGCATTTCATGCACTCTGCAGCAGCAGCAGCAGCAGCAACAGCAGCAGCAGCAACAGCAGCAGCAGCAACAGCAACAGCAGCAACAGCGGATTTGCTGGCAGCATTAGAGAGAAAACAGCAACATCAAGCGAAGGCACTAGCAGCAACAGCAGCAGCAGCAGCAACAGCAGCAACAGCAGCAACAGCAGCAGCAGCAGCAACAGCAGCAGCAGCAGCAACAGCAGCAGCAGCAGCAACAGCAGCAGCAGCAGCAGACTTGCCTTGCTGCTTCTGATGGAGAAGCAAGTACTAATTGATTTGCATGCTGCAGTTGCTGCTGCAGCAAAGTAATTTCCCTTCTTAGTTTGTCTGCTTCTGCATTTGCTGCTGCTGCTGCTGCAGTAGCAGCAGCAGCACGAGTCTCTGCTGCACCAAGAGACTCAAGAGCAGCAGAAGCCTGCGCCTCCTTTCTCCTGCAGCAGCAGCAACAGCAGCAGCAGCAGCAGCACAACCACAAACACGGCTACAGCAGCAGCAGCAGCAGCTACGCTGCAGCAACGGCAACACAACAACAGCAGAAAGCAGCAGAAACAGCACAGCTACAACAGCAGCAGCAGCAACAGCAACAGCAGCAACAGCAGCAGCAGGTGTACATACACCGCAAGTTCCCTTAATGATTGCAACTGCGATTGCTGCACACTTAATACACGATGTAATCTTGCTATCTCCTGCAGCAGCAGCAGCAGCAGCAACAGCAGCAGCAGCAGCAACAGCAGCAGCAGCAGCACATGTGTCCACACATAAAATTGCAGGAAGGAGGGGAAGGGAGATATAACTGCAGCACATGCTGCTAATGGCATTGCTGTATGTGCTGCTGCTGCTGCTACTGCTGCTGCTGCTGTTGCTGCTGTTGCTGCTGCTGTTGCTGTTGCTGCTGGATAGAAGTACATAATGCGCTTACATTGTCTTTGTCTTGCAAAGATACGCTCTGCTGCTGCTGCTGCTGCTGCTGCTGAAGTGGTAGCTGCGGCAGTTTGCTTTGCTGCTGCTGCTGCTGCAGCGAGCCGACCGGTGCTGCTGCTGCTGCTGCTGCTGCTGCTTCGGCATCAGAGCCATATGTTGCTGCAGCAGCTTCAGGTGTATAGACAACTGCAGCAGCAGCAAATTGTTCTACAATAGACACACGAGTTGCAGGAGCAGC